AGAGTCTGTAGGTGTTTGTGGGGTCGGAGTAGAAATTCTTGAATAGAAAGTAGGAGTAGCACTTGGTTTAAAAGAGCCCTGTCTTTCCAATCTTCTTTCTGAAAGTCTCCGATCAATACGGATAGCCAACCGCACAAATGCATCAAACTCAACAGGAAGATCAACACGAGCTAGCTCATCTTTTATAGCTTCTGAGAGACCCCTTCTGAAGTGGAACCTCTGGGCTGATTGGTTCCAAGTAGTATCAGTAACCCACTGTCTGAATTCAGCAGCATATTCAGCCACAGAGCGCCTCCCTTGATGTAAATGAAGGAGAGTGGCTTCTGCTGTAGCACAGCGATTGGGATCATCAAAAACTAGGCACATGGCCTCAAGAAAGTCTTTTAAATTTCCCAAGATTGGACTGTCCTGTTCCAGAAAAGGGGAGCCCCAGGCCAGGGCTTCATCTTTGAAGAGGGAAAAAATAAATCCCACCTTCTCTCTTTCAGATGGAAAACGGTTAGGTAACATCATGAAATGCAAACGGCATTGATTTAGGAAACCCCTGAATTTTTTGCGGTCTCCTCCAAATTTTTCTGGTAGAGGCAAGCGGGCATCTTGTGCAGGTGTAACAGTAGTAGTAGCAGCAGCCGCAACATCATGTGCCCTGTAGCTGGTAAGCTCACTATGCATTGATCGAACTTCATTTTGCAGTTCAGCTACCTGATCCTGCAGCACTTGAATGGTCTGTGCCTGGGTCTGCATAGTTCTTGCATTAAAAGCAACCTGCTGGGCCAATGCAGAATCTGATCCGACGGTCTCCATGAATGGGCCAGATTATTCTGTAATGATATTGATGTTACAAAGTTTTGGAGTCCAGTAGCCAGATCAGCAATGTTTTCTGCCAGAGGTAGCCACTCGTTACCCAGGTGGTTGAGCCCCTGAGCCTTGAGTGGCCTTCTGGTCTTAAGCAGAGATGGGAGACTGGAACAGAAAGATGATAATCGTAGTGAGGCAAGCCGAGGTCAGTGGGAAGGAGAAGCAGCAAAGTCAAAACAGTCCAAATTCAGCAACAGGAAGGAGAAACAGGAACACGCTTGATTAGAGAGTACAGGAACCACAATAATCTGGCAAAGGTACAGAGACAGGAAGTGGCTTTTATAGGCCAAGAACCAGACACCTGACCAGACACAGCTGAAGAGTGTTGTCACTGATAACCTTGACTCTACAAGCAATGGTATAAGATCTCAGGTAAATTTGCAAAAGGCAGGCTGGTGTACTGGTAAGGAAAAGGTTTAGCACCATGTAAACCAGGGTTCGAAACCCAGCAGAGTCAGTTCCTCACACTAATAATGTGCTCAAGCTGTGTTGCCTTGAGACAGTTCCCTGGTTTCCCTAGATGAGGGAGACCAGGGAACTAAAGCAGAAAAGTGGGGCAGCAGCCCAAAATGGTGATTGTCTCTCAAAATTGGGATATTTGGTATGGAGGTATGGTGTTTGCATTTTGCAGAACTACTGCACACATCACAGGTGCACACTTTTGGGGGCCTGATGGGTATTATTTCTTTATTGCTGAATAGGGGCCCTGTAAGTTGGCCCTGTAATATCGGCCATCTGGAAAGAACTAAAAGATGATAACTTCTTCCTAGCTTCTTACTGAGCAGCACGACACAGGACATCGGAGGTGGCACAGAGAGGCAGCATGAGGGCAAGAGGAGCAAGCAGAAAGCTGCTTGATTCTTACACTCCCTCCCATCAGCCTCAGCCAGGAGCAGCAGGACCCCAAGCAAGCCACCTTCCTTGACACAAAAGGTATGCCAACAGGAGGGTGGCTGCAAATATTAAAATTATAACATGTATGTGTATATGTATGTATTAGTGTGTGTATCTGAGAGTATATGTCTGTGTATGCATCTGTGTGTACTTATATGTATTTGTGTGTTTATGTCTTTGTGTTTATGTGCATCTGTGTGTCAGGGTGTGCATCACTAAGTGTATATATATTTCAATGTGTGTATCTGTATGTCAGGGTGTGTATGTGTGTCAGTGTGCATGTGTGTGTCAAGGTGTGTGTATATGTGTATCTGGGTGAGCATCTGTGTGTCAGGGTGTGTGTGACAGACCGCCTTGCACCCCGACTGGGGACTTCCGTCAATCGCTGCTTCCTACTACTGGCGAGTACCATAAGCACTGCACTGGAACACCATAATCAACGTAAACCCCATGAACCGCCGCCCTCCACCCACCCTGGACCCAAGACCAGGATTCAACTTCCAGTAGGTAGACCTCTCCTAGTCCAGAGAAAGTAGCAGGACTAGTTCTTAGAAGAGCTAGTGATTATACTCAGTGGAGTATTGTGATATGGCAATCCCCAGGGTGTATGTAGATCTCCAATACCTCAAACATGAGCCATGACTTTATGAAGGGGTAAAGCATTCTGTTTAATGGAAGCCACAGCTGGCCTTTTATGCAAGTCCCCAAGCAAGGTGTATGCCCACACACACCTTGTTGGGTACAGGGACACAAACTCACAAACCAATAATAACACATTTACAATGTAAGGCACTTCCACACATAGCACACAATCCCTCCTCTCTGCTTGTGAGATAATTGGATTACTACCTGTACTAATTCTAATCCAATTACCTCCAAGCACAGAAAAAACATACTTTTTTAAAACACCCCAAAAGTACCCTAAGAATACATAAAACCACACAAATCTGGGTGACCAACATTTCCAAAAATCACCCAGATCAGTTCAGGGGTTCAGGAATTTACTGGAAGTCTAATTTTGACCCACCGTGCACATGGTTCCATGCCCAAACAGTTCCAGAGAATTAGGGCTAACGGTCGGTCTCTCTACATACTTCACATGAACAGAGCCTTTTAAAGTGCATTGGGCAAGGTATATTGCAGGGCCCATAGTCCTGAAGCAAGAAGCTGGCCAGCAGGCCCCTCCAAAAGCCAGTGACGAGGTACTTTTGTCACAGTGTGCATCTATGTGTGGTTGCATATTTCAGTGTGTATCTGTGTGTCAGGGTGTGTGTATGAGTCAGTGTGTATATAAATGTGTATGTATGTGTCAGTGTATGTATATGTGTGTATTTGTGTGTTAATGTGTCTGTATATCTGTGTAAGTATTTATGTACATACATCCAAGCAAACACAAACACAACATGCAAATACACTCCTGCAATCTAACATAAATATTACATGTAAACACACCCCTGCATTCAAACTCCAAAGTAAACACAACTTTCACTCAAGCACCATTACTGCACACAAATGTGCAGCCACATTTAAAAGCCAACATAACATACAGATACACCCCTGAAATCAAACACAAACATTCCATACAAATACACCCCAGTATTAAAACACTTCAATTATATACAAGCACCCTTTCAATCAAACACCAACACTACACACAAAAGAACACCTGCATTTAAAGCCAACAATACATACAAACACACCCCTGCATTCAAACGCAAACATTACACACAAGTACAGCACTGCATTCCAATGGCAACAGTACAAATACTCCCCTACCTGCACACACATACTCTATACAAAAACATGCTTACATTTAAATGCACTACACACTGAATACAAATACAAGTCTGCAAGATGGGCAAATAGTAGATTATAGAAACATAGAAACATAGAATGTGACAGGAGATAAGAACCATTTGGCTCTTCTAGTCTGCCCAATATTTCAAAATACTTTTTATCAGTCCCTGGCCTTATCTTAAGTCTAGGATAATTCTCAGATCCCCACCTGGCATTGCATCGTTAGAGTTGTATGACAGATGAGGACCTACCTTTTGGCCACTCTTGGCCACTCTTGCACTGAAAAGAGGGCCCCAAAACACTTTCTTGCACCAGGGCCCTCTTTTCATTAGTTCTGCCACTGGATGTGTATATGTCTGCATGGGTGTCTGCATGGGTCACTGTATGACTGCATGGGTCACTGTGTGTGTCTGTATAAGTTAGTGTGTGTCTGCATGGGTCAGTGTTTGTGCCAACATGGATCAGTGTGTGTCTGCATGGGTCAATTGTGTCTGCATGGGTCAGTGTGAGTGTGTCTGCAGCGGTCAGTGTGAGTTTGTCTGCATGGTCAGTGTGATTGTGTCTGCATGGGCCAGTGTGTGTGTCTGCATGGGTCAGTGTGTGTATATCTGAATGGGTCAGTGTGAGTGTGTCTGCATGGGTCAATGTTCCTGTATGGGTCAGTGTATGTGTTTCTGCATAGGTTAGTGTGCGTATCTGTATGGGTCAACGTGTGTCTTCATGGGTCAGTGAGAGGGTGTCTGCATGCGTACTGTGAGTGTGTATGCATAGCTTGGTATCAGTGTGTCCGCATGGGTCACTGTGAATGTGTATGCATAGCTTGGTATCAGTGTGTCCGCATTGGACAGTGTATCTGCATGTGTCAGTGTGTACGACTACATGAGTCAGTGTGTGTGTTTGCATGGGTCAGTGCATGTGTGTCAGAATAGGTTAGTGTGCGTGTCTGCATTGGTCAACGTGTGTCTGCATGGGTCAGTGTGAGTGTGTCTGCATGGGTCAGTGTATGTGTTTCTGCACGGGTCAGTGAGAGTGCGTATGTATGGCTTGGTATCAGTGTGTCTGCATGAGTCAGTGCCAGAGTGTCTGAAAGGGTCAGTGTGTGTGAGAGTGTGCATGGGTCTTTACAAAGGTCAAAGTTTTCACGAAATCAGTATTTTTTAAATGTGGCAGACTATTATACATGTGTACACGTAGGCATGTATATAAGTATACATGTATTATAGTACTATTTATATGTACTTTCTCTATGAATGGGGGTGCATTGAATAGACTGGTATTGGGGCAGCAAGAAGCGTAAATTTGGCCCTGAACACACATATCCAGTTACGTGAAAACACTGACGAGAGGCTAATAGAATAACATCATTAATAGGAGCCTTTTCACAAAAAAATAGCATCATCCACTTCCCCACCAAAGCAAAATAGAGATACAAAAAGCTGCAAGGAGCTGCAATGGCCGCCCTCGATCTGGTGACATGAAGCCCAGTGTTTAGAAGCAGGAGCCGTGGGCAGAGGTGGGTGATTCCATGATTCAAGCCATTTTTATTGATTTCTTTAAGGTCCCATAGTTAAAAACATAAAGTTCCTGAAGAGGTTTGCCTGCAGCCTAGAAAGATGCAATTTGCTGCAGATTTAGAATGTCTTGGTGTAGCAAAGACAAAGAAACAATATTTCTCCCCCAGACCCAAAATTATATTGTTCTAAAAAAGAAGAATTATTAGTGTAAGCGTAGAATGGGCAATGTACTGGCGCTGCCTTCTTCACAGGGGGCATGGAGTACACTGAAAAAAAGCAGTTACTGTCCCCAACCCTGGAAGCTTTGATGAGCTCCATAAAAATTGCAAAGAGGTGTTTCCACAGCAGCTGGAAGGAGTGAAAGTAATTATCAACAGTCCCCTTAGCAGCCATTTACAGGTCAGCCATACTGTTCACATTAGCACAGCCAGTCAATCCTGTTACCATTTCAACACAAAGTATCTTGGAGATGAACAATTGAGTCCTAAGGAGAACTTCCCGACGCTCATTTGCGATTTGGACAGTTCTGGGATCCCGATTACCCAGGTCCTGTGTCTCCTGGCAGAACGTCTAAATACCTCACCTGGCAGTTCGATGGTGAATACAGAGGGGATGATTGCACAGTGTCTATAACTTTAGGAAATCCAGACATCCTCAATGAATCCGTGATTCTGGTCTCACACTTCCTGCAGAGTATCACAACCTGGCTAGTCCTCGGGGGAGAGCTGGTATATCATAAGAGACGAGGAGAGGAGGGAGCCATTGTTACTCTAGCTGGGAAGTATTCTGCACCAAACTGGGAGGCAACATTAAATATTGGATATGGTGGAGCACATGCCAGCTATTATCAAAAAGCAAATGAACAGGTTCAAGTTGGCGTTGAATTTGAAGCCAATACAAGATTTCAGGAGATGTCCTTTGCATTTAGTTACCCTTTGAATACCCCCAAATCAAATATGGTCTTCAAAGCGTCAGTGGACAGTTCCTGGTGTGTAGGGGGGAGTCCTAGAAAAGAAACCATCTCCTCTACCTGTTACTCTGGCTCTTGGGGCTTTCATGAATCATTGGAAGAATATGTTTCATTGTGGTTTCAATATCTCGGTAGGGTGAGCTGGTTCAAGGCAGATTAGGGTTGTAAGTTACAAGAAAATTACATCTGTGTGCCACAACAGACTCAGTTCTTTTGGTCTCGTTCTCAGCCACACTTTTCCACCCATCTTCCTAAACACCCACCTCCAGAGGTATGAACAAGAGGGGCAGATACGTGAGGATTTGTTGTTCTTAATCTAGAACCTCGTTTGTGTTATGCATTGCGTTTCTTGTTGATATGTTGAATTATGGACTACTGCCTTTTCTAGGTAAAAGAGGTGACCACTTCTTAAAGGTAGAAGAAGACTTTGAAATCACTCTGCTGCAGTCTTTTATCAGTATATTCAACAAGGAACTGGTATTAAAAATGAGTGTGTTCATGAGCGATGTTGTCCAAGAAGGTTTGATACTGAAATATTTTGGGATATATTATTCCTGCAGTTCAATGCACTGCTAAACACAGTAAGGTCTAACGTTCTACCTGTCTCAGGGCACCGCTGCCAGTTTTAGTACCTCCTCTCACATAATGGAAATTTGGGCTAGTTTACTCGGAAAGCCTTTTTGTGTACATGGTTTAGATGGAGTCTTTACTCAAAAAAATTGTTGGTAGTGAATATCCATAGCATCAGATATTGATAATTTGCGTCTGATACAAAGAGTACAATTTGCGTCTGATACAAAGTTGCTTCTCTAGTCATCCTGCTATCTCCTCAACCACCCTTGTGAACTAGGCCCTAGTTGTGGATTCATATTCAAACCCCATCTCTTGCAGGGACCAGAATATCTCTGCTTCCAAGTTGAATGTTTACAATTCTTGTTTCAGTTAGTAATTAAAGGACCACCAGGCTGAGTAGAAACCTCACCCAATTACTTCTTCATTCCAGAAATAGACTTCTTAAATTTTATGTTCAGTTTACAGTTGCAGATGTTCTATTCTTTTTTCCCCACTTGGGAGTGCTGTTAGTGTTTATAAAATTATTTAAAATATTCCCTTTATTTAAAAAATATTTAAAAATAAAAACACAGCAGATTTTATAAATGTAGCCTCCAATGGGACAGTATAGCAAAACAAAAACAAAAAAATCACATATAAAGATTGCAGGCCTCATTAATTTGGTCACACTCATCAATAGGATAGTTTCTTATGTCATGTACCTAAAACAAAGTATATGAGGTCACTGATGTTTCATATGTACAGAATTTTGATGAAAGCTGTCGGAATTGTGCCAACCTTAGCACTGGGCAAAGTGAGCAGGTAGTCACAATTGTATCTTCTGTTTTTCATTCCATAAAAGTGGCTAGATTTCACCTAGCATGCCCAAATTAAACACTGGTGTTGCTATCTCTACACTGCAACATCGAATAAAGGAAGAGGATATTAGGCAAATCTCTAGTTAAAATTAACTTTTTTCCATTTGTGTCAAATATTTCTTCAGGTCTGGTCCTCTTTAAATACTTATAAGGACATTTGCAGGGTTATTCACTAAAATGAGAATCAACGGGAATTTAAATTAAATTATGAGTGGATTTCAAAATGTAGGCCAAAACAGCCGAATTAGAAACATTCTCTAAGTCAAGTCAAGTTTTCAGTTTGGCTATTGCAGTCTATAATTTGGAATTCCTGGCAAATCTCACTTTCGTAAATAATCTGGTAAAACTGAATCTAGTGTGCTATTTTATTTTACACCCACAGGTCGTCAAGTTCATAATTACCATCAACCCATCATTAAGATTGCTCTTTCAAACATCAATGTTACTAGAATAATTTGGGTCCGTAAAAAATTATTGATGGAATGAGGCCAGTGTATAAAGAGAGGCTCCAATTATTTCCCAGAATAACTCTGTGATGTATGGGTGGTAATAGACAGTACAGAGAAACCCGCCCAGGTAAAGTAAGTGTTTACTGCTTTATATTACAAACGTTTTATGCATATGCTGCATATTCTTCCAGACTAAGGTGGACAATCTTAAGTAAAAAAAAACAGATTTTAACTGTTTTGTTTGTGATTTACCAATAACTTGCATATTTATGACACTATGTTAGCAGTACGTTATTCTGGATTCTTTTTTTAATAACTGAGTACATGCATGACTCATTAATGAGAAATATGCGTGCACATTTTGTGTACTAGGAGTATAAATTACCATCAAAACCTGATCATTTCTGTAAATGTAGTGCTTTTATAGAGGGTAAAATTTCTAATACAGTAACGAGGACACACATGACTCTTGCTTCATCTTCTAACATAGAAAGTAGGAAAGTAGTGGCCAGGAAATTGGTCATCTTAACTGGAAAGCTTGATTGTGTCTAGGTATTTCTGTAAATTATTTAAGGACTCGTAATAGCCTGACTCATAATCACCAGTCTTTAGTGGGTCATCATTTTAACCATTTTTATGAAGGATAGGGGAAAGTAGAAATGGACTAGCTGCAGCAGCAAATCATCCACACATGCTGTGTTGCAACATCTTTCAGCATTCAACGTTGCCATGTTTCACATGCTATGTAATTAATGAGATGCCCTCTCACCATTACATTGTGGGCCAGCTAGAAAATGGATGTGGAGGCATGTGAGGTAGAATTATTTGAATATTGACTTGTGAAATATAGGTCCAATTTTGAAATATCTGATACGCAATAAAATACTTTGTCCATTTTCTAATGTGTACTTAACTATTTTTAATCCCTTAAAGCAGGGGTGCCCAAAAGGTAGATCCCCAGATCTTCTGGTACTACAACTCCCCTGATGCTTTGCATGCCTTTAGAATGACAAGGCATCGTGGAAGTTGTATGTTTAAAACATCTGGAGATCTACCATTTAGTCACCCCTGCCTTACAGAATATAGTCACTAATACATAAATGCCATAATACCTTTAAGTAAATATAACTCAAAATTATTTGTTCTCGAAAAAAAAAGCACATTACAACCGTGAGAATATAGTTGATCCCGAGATTGCTTACTGGCAGTGATGTCGCTAATTCCAAGTGTTTCTAAAAAGTTCATCCTGTTGGTTTAGCACCCATTGCCGAGCTGGATTGTTTTAATAACTCATTGGCAATTAAGGGATCAACACCTTGCTATAAATGCAAAAAATTACATTGGTTTAGTACAGGGGTAGGCAACCTTCAGCACTCTTGATGTGTTGGACTACAATTCCAATAATGCTCTTCAGCCATAATGCTGGCGAAGTATCAGGGGAGATATAGTCCAGACCACCGCCAAAGATTGCCTACCCTTTTTTTAATAGTTGGTCCTTGAGTAGTATGACAAGAAGGTCCACACTGGCAATGAATGAGTTAATCCTGTGCAATATTCACAATGAAGTGATTGATAAAGTGAATAAAGGGCACACCCTGGACATTCGGGAGTTAAATCCATGAATTACAGAAATTAAATTATATATATTGCTAGCTGCGAAGGAGTCAATACCATACATTATTCGAGATGACAGCTGGATAGTTTAAAACAGGACAAACTTTAAAAAAAAAAAAAAAAAATTCATGCATTGTTAGAAACACCAGCTCTCTGACATTATAGTGAGAACACCTGGCAGTGGATCAGTTAAATACATTTATTTATAACTTTAGCATCAATATGGCTGACGTGCTTTAGGCGTTTGGAGTGTTCCTTTAACCACATTTTATTTTCTTACCATTGATGGCTGGTTGATTTAGCAGGAGCCCTCACTGGCAGTGAGTTTTCTGGCATTTATTTATTTATTTTACAAATAATGGTTGGCTAATTTAGAAGAGGTTTAATATTTTCTCTGACCGCCCTAAGGGTGTCTCACTCCATTTGCGGTGTAATCTCTACATCTCTACTTGTTTCGGATGTTGAGACTCCCCTTATCTCGCGATTTTACTGATATCAAGGCTGTTCTGTAGCAGTATCAGGCCAGGACAGGAAACAGGACCTGCCACTGGCAAAATCCCACTGTCACAATCACTGTTTCACAATCATGTTGGATCCATGCCCAGGCTCTGCTCAGTGGAAAGTACTTAACAGCAGATTGGACTTGATAACCTGACATTAACTGTTCGTCTTACTACCAGCCCTGCGTTATAGATTTTACAGAGAATCTCAACACTGATTTGCTATTATAACCAATAACGTTTGTCTTTACTAATATCTACAATGTATTTTGAGCACTGGAAAAGCAAGTGTAACACTTTAAAAGGAAACTATATGCACCCAGACCACTTCAGCGCATTGAACTGATCTGGGTGCAGTGTCCCAGCACCCTTAGCCCTGCAAAGGTAACTATTGCAGTTTTTTTATAAACTGCTATAATTACCTTTATGGGTTAACTGTACCTCTAGTGGCTGTCTGGTAGGGACTACCATATTGTTCAACGTTTGGTCACCTAACTGACACAGGACGTCCTAACGCTATGCATGATGACTTCCAGCGTAACCAGAATCCCAATAGGAAAGCGATGAATAATGCTTACCTGTGGGGAAATCCTAATGCAAGCGCGGGCATTGCACGTATGCACATTAAAGTGGCAGGGGAGGACAGGAGACAGTCGCAAGAAAGTGCTGAGGCATATCAGGATGGGACCCAGGTAAGTGACAGAAGGGGGTTTTAACCCCTTCTGCTCCATGAGGGAGGGGCTTGCCAGAGGGGGAAGCTACGGAGCCAGGGAAATAAGTTTGTTTTTCTGGCACTATAGTTTCCCCTTAAATCCTTAAGACATGCACCATGTAGCCGACACTGACACATAAAAAACAAAAACATTTGATTAAATATAACACATTCTTCCATTGAGTATAGGCTGGCAAAGCATTAAGGAACTTGCTTAATCTTGCCTACTTTATAGGGGACCCCAGAGGCTCTCCACTGTATGTTTATTTGTTTATTTTTTTAGATGGGAAGATAGAAAATGCCAAAAATTAGCCATGACAAAACCAGACAATTCATATAATGAATAGCATTAACTATTTCACTGCCAGCAAGTATCTTCTGCTAAAACAATCAATTGTTACAATGCATGGCATTAACCCTTCACTGCTAGACAGTGTCAGCTGCTAAACCACAAA